AAATCGATTTAAAGGTTTGGAAAGTCCACCGGCCGATATATAAAGGATTTTGGAATATTTTATACTGGGAAATTTGGGTATGAAAATTTCGAGCATCTGAACACCCCCCAAATCGCGATTAGAGCCTTAATTAAGGAGATAAATCGATTTAAAGGTTTGGAAAGTCCACCAGCCGATATATAAAGGATTTTGGAATATTTTATACTGGGAAATCTTGGTATGAAAATTTCGAGCATCTGAACACCCCCCAAATCGCGATTAGAGCCTTAATTAAGGAGATAAATCGATTTAAAGGTTTGGAAAGTCCACCGGCCGATATATAAAGGATTTTGGAATATTTTATACTGGGAAATCTTGGTATGAAAATTTCGAGCATCTGAACACCCCCCAAATCGCGATTAGAGCCTTAATTAAGGAGATAAATCGATTTAAAGGTTTGGAAAGTCCACCGGCCGATATATAAAGGATTTTGGAATATTTTACACTGGGAAATTTGGGTATGAAAATTTCGAGCATCTGAACACCCCCCAAATCGCGATTAGAGCCTTAATTAAGGAGATAAATCGATTTAAAGGTTTGGAAAGTCCACCGGCAGATATATAAAGGATTTTGGAATATTTTATACTGGGAAATTTGGGTATGAAAATTTCGAGCATCTGAACACCCCCCAAATCGCGATTAGAGCCTTAATTAAGGAGATAAATCGATTTAAAGGTTTGGAAAGTCCACCGGCCGATATATAAAGGATTTTGGAATATTTTATACTGGGAAATCTTGGTATGAAAATTTCGAGCATCTGAACACCCCCCAAATCGCGATTAGAGCCTTAATTAAGGAGATAAATCGATTTAAAGGTTTGGAAAGTCCACCAGCCGATATATAAAAGATTTTGGAATATTTTATACTGGGAAATTTGGGTATGAAAATTTCGAGCATCTGAACAACCCCCAAATCGCGATTAGAGCCTTAATTAAGGAGATAAATCGATTTAAAGGTTTGGGAAGTCCACCAGCCGATATATAAAGGATTTTGGAATATTTTATACTGGGAAATCTTGGTATGAAAATTTCGAGCATCTGAACACCCCCCAAATCGCGATTAGAGCCTTAATTAAGGAGATAAATCGATTTATAGGTTTGGGAAGTCCACCAGCCGATATATAAAGGATTTTGGAATATTTTATACTGGGAAATCTTGGTATGAAAATTTCGAGCATCTGAACACCCCCCAAATCGCGATTAGAGCCTTAATTAAGGAGATAAATCGATTTAAAGGTTTGGAAAGTCCACCGGCCGATATATAAAGGATTTTGGAATATTTTACACTGGGAAATTTGGGTATGAAAATTTCGAGCATCTGAACACCCCCCAAATCGCGATTAGAGCCTTAATTAAGGAGATAAATCGATTTAAAGGTTTGGAAAGTCCACCGGCCGATATATAAAGGATTTTGGAATATTTTATACTGGGAAATCTTGGTATGAAAATTTCGAGCATATGAACACCCCCCAAATCGCGATTAGAGCCTGAATTAAGGAGATAAATCGATTTAAAGGTTTGGAAAGTCCACCAGCCGATATATAAAGGATTTTGGAATATTTTATACTGGGAAATCTTGGTATGAAAATTTCGAGCATCTGAACACACCCCAAATCGCGATTAGAGCCTTAATTAAGGAGATAAATCGATTTAAAGGTTTGGAAAGTCCACCGGCCGATATATAAAGGATTTTGGAATATTTTACACTGGGAAATTTGGGTATGAAAATTTCGAGCATCTGAACACCCCCCAAATCACGATTAGAGCCTTAATTAAGGAGATAAATCGATTTAAAGGTTTGGAAAGTCCACCGGCCGATATATAAAGGATTTTGGAATATTTTACACTGGGAAATTTGGGTATGAAAATTTCGAGCATCTGAACACCCCCCAAATCGCGATTAGAGCCTTAATTAAGGAGATAAATCGATTTAAAGGTTTGGAAAGTCCACCGGCCGATATATAAAGGATTTTGGAATATTTTACACTGGGAAATTTGGGTATGAAAATTTCGAGCATCTGAACACCCCCCAAATCGCGATTAGAGCCTTAATTAAGGAGATAAATCGATTTAAAGGTTTGGAAAGTCCACCGGCCGATATATAAAGGATTTTGGAATATTTTATACTGGGAAATCTTGGTATGAAAATTTCGAGCATATGAACACCCCCCAAATCGCGATTAGAGCCTGAATTAGGGAGATAAATCGATTTAAAGGTTTGGAAAGTCCACCAGCCGATATATAAAGGATTTTGGAATATTTTATACTGGGAAATCTTGGTATGAAAATTTCGAGCATCTGAACACCCCCCAAATCGCGATTAGAGCCTTAATTAAGGAGATAAATCGATTTAAAGGTTTGGAAAGTCCACCGGCCGATATATAAAGGATTTTGGAATATTTTACACTGGGAAATTTGGGTATGAAAATTTCGAGCATCTGAACACCCCCCAAATCGCGATTAGAGCCTTAATTAAGGAGATAAATCGATTTAAAGGTTTGGAAAGTCCACCGGCAGATATATAAAGGATTTTGGAATATTTTATACTGGGAAATTTGGGTATGAAAATTTCGAGCATCTGAACACCCCCCAAATCGCGATTAGAGCCTTAATTAAGGAGATAAATCGATTTAAAGGTTTGAGAAGTCCACCGGCCGATATATAAAGGATTTTGGAATATTTTATACTGGGAAATCTTGGTATGAAAATTTCGAGCATCTGAACACCCCCCAAATCGCGATTAGAGCCTTAATTAAGGAGATAAATCGATTTAAAGGTTTGGAAAGTCCACCGGCCGATATATAAAGGATTTTGGAATATTTTACACTGGGAAATTTGGGTATGAAAATTTCGAGCATCTGAACACCCCCCAAATCGCGATTAGAGCCTTAATTAAGGAGATAAATCGATTTAAAGGTTTGGAAAGTCCACCGGCAGATATATAAAGGATTTTGGAATATTTTATACTGGGAAATTTGGGTATGAAAATTTCGAGCATCTGAACACCCCCCAAATCGCGATTAGAGCCTTAATTAAGGAGATAAATCGATTTAAAGGTTTGGAAAGTCCACCGGCCGATATATAAAGGATTTTGGAATATTTTCGAGCATCTGAACACCCCCCAAACCGCGATTAGAGCCTTAATTAAGGAGATAAATCGATTTAAAGGTTTGAGAAGTCCACCAGCCGATATATAAAGGATTTTGGAATATTTTATACTGGGAAATCTTGGTATGAGAATTTCGAGCATCTGAACACCCCCCAAACCGCGATTAGAGCCTTAATTAAGGAGATAAATCGATTTAAAGGTTTGGAAAGTCCACCGGCCGATATATAAAGGATTTTGAAATATTTTATACTGGGAAATCTTGGTATGAAAATTTCGAGCATCTGAAAACCCACCAAATCGCGATTGGAGCCTTAATTAAGGAGATAAATCGATTTACAGGTTTGGGAAGTCCACCGGCCGATATATGAAAGATTTTGGAGTATTTTATACTGGGAAATTTGGGTATGAAAATTTCGAGCATCTGAACACCCGCCAAATCGCGATTAGAGCCTTAATAAATAAATAAATTAATTAATTAAATCCCCAGGCATGAACCAACAGCAAGTAAATTTAGGTTTGATCTGCTCTCGACGTTGCTGTACAACTTTCAACAAGAGGGCTTCTTGAACCACTTCTTGTTGGTTAGTTGACAGTTCAACTGCAGGGTAGCTCGTAGGCAAAATCCCATACCTGATCCTGTTAGCAATGTTTTTGTGCAGAACTCCATTTTAAAATTCATAACCATCCTCAAACCACACCGATAAATTAAGTTGAATGAAGCTAGTGAGGTCAGTCATACTTTTAAATAAAATCTTCGGATTAAGAAATATTTCCCTGATTTTGAATGACATTTCCTGCGATTCCGTGATTTTCCAGGTCTAAAAGTGACAAAGAATACGAACCCGAGGAAAGAGCAGAGATGCAACCGTGATTTACCTTCCATGGCATGATATGTCACCACTTTGGTCACTTTTGACCAACGTCACCTTCGGCACCAAGCGACTGATCCTAATTTTAAAATCTGTTGAAAGAGCTGAGGCTCCAAAAGCAAAGGGACTTTCCTCAAATTCCCCCATCAACCTGAATAGATTTGCTACGAGAAACCACATGTTTATAGCCCTGCAGAAAGCCTAGGACGCTTCAGAAGAAGATGCCATCTGCATAAATACCCACTTGCATCCGATAAGCTCTGTCTCCATCGCCTGTCTTATCACACACTGTAATCAAGTTGTGCAAGAATTGTACAGATATGTATATTCATACCCCCCTATTGTAGTAGAACATGGTTAACACCACTTTAGCAACAAACGACGACACTCGGCTGCAACAGCTGCAACTGTAAAGACCTTAACTCGGAAGACAACAACGACGACGACGGAGCACTGCACCACCTCACTCCTCAAAAGCGGGCCGTGATTAATTAAATAAGGCAAGTTATGTGTGACACTTATGGTGTGGCGGTTGCAAAGGAAAATTAATTGAAAAATTGAACATTATCCACACTTGGGTGCGCTCAGCAGCATGCACTGTCACTGTCACTTCCGACAAACAAACACGATAGTGGTTAAGCCCTCCTACCGGCGCTTGTCGACGATAAGGAACAGTTTACTGGCTGTGTAATCATATTTGTACGATGTCACTCGTTTGTTTTCTTACAGGAAGGTAGGAAGGATGTTTGTTCCTGAAGTCGGTTCATGTTGGGAGATAAGATTTTGCCTGGGTGAGATGATTATCCGATTTAGGTCGGGATGCTTGCAAAATTAAGAAAAGTCATTGTCACGCTTGAGCGATGAGTCGTTGGTCAGGTACATTGACAGTTGACCGGTAGAAATCGTTGGTAGAAAGCGGCAGTATTTAAAGCGTTGCAAAGTCATTCGATCAAGTGAGAAGGGAAAAGTGTGTGGCAGAGCAAAATGTCCTTCATCAAATTTCAAACTTCCGATGGAGTCGTGTTCAACGTAGATTCCAAGTCGGCCAAATGCTTCGGAACGATCAAAACCATGCTGGAGGACATCGCCGTCGGTGAGGACGACGTCATACCGCTTCCGAATGTGACGGCGCCGATCTTGGAGAAAGTCATTCAATGGGTTGATCATCACAAGGACGATCCGCTTCTGGAGTACGATGACGAATTCGAACGAAAGAGGACGGACAACATCAGCGGATGGGATATGGAATATTTGAAGGTGGACCAAAGGATTTTGGTAGATTTGATGCTGGCAGCCAACTATCTGGACATTAGTGGATTGATCGCTGTAACCTGCAAGACGGTGGCCAATATGATTAAGAATAAAACGGTGGAAGAGATTAGATCAACGTTCAACATCAAGAATGATTTCCCAGGGGGGGCAGAGCAACAGCTCCGCCTGGAGAATGAATATGTCGAGGAGAGAAAATAAAGAATTGTCACAAATGAAACGGCTTATTTCAATTACAGGAACTCAAGTGTATCTGCTCTGCTCGTGAAACACGATCCATCTGGGAATGGAACGAACGGCACCCCCATTCTATTCCATCCATCCATCAATATTTACGTACTAGGCTGGATCAGCCTGTCAGAATCGTATCACTTTTGGATTCGTCTGTCGGTCTCTGCTTTCAATAATAATAAAAAAAAGAAACGACTCCCCAGTCTCTCAAGCATGGAGCTCGTTTCCGACTGAAAAAAAAACACCCGCATATGGCGTTTCCGAATTGGCTTTTGTTTATCAAAGTGTGCACAGTCTGGTGCACTTGAACGTAGCACCACATGCATCAAAACGTGCATTCCATTTGGGATCCATCACAAACCTAACTCGACACCTCTCCCGTACAAACCATTGAAAAGCAGATTTTATCATCTTTTGATGGACAACGGTCCGGAGGCAGTGCTGCCAGAATCAACATCTGTAAATTGGCTTCTTTTGACAGGTTGTGTTTGATTTTCCCGACGCGTTGGCAACACTGCACAAGTTCATCAGTCGTGTATAGTCGTGAAACCTGTTACTCCGGTGAAGAATCCTGTTCAAATATTTTAATTGTTAACCCTCCTAGCTGTAGTCACATCTGCTGCAAGATAACTTTCAACTCCACATCCCTTTATGTTTTCACTGACAACGAATCTTACTCAGAGAGTGAGTCACTTTTACTCATTCGTAGGTAGACACTTCTGAGTGAGAAACTTCTCCATACGAATGAGTAAAAGTAACTCACAACTGAGTTAAAGTGACCCACCCTCCGAGTTACTTTCGTTTTCAGTGCCTCTTTCCATCAGCTTGCTGCGTGGTCTGCGAGCTATGGGAACGGCAAATTCCAATGCAATCTGATCCATTTCGTTGTAGCCTATTTTATGTTTTACTGTTGACCCAGAGAGGCAGCAGTGCACCGCACGAAGAGTTTCGTTCTGTTTTTGACACCAACGACATTCGGAGCGAAATACGATGAAAATAAAAATAAACCTCTCGGCACGGGAAGGAACGTTTCATTACATTTTCTCCAATAGATAGCTACTTGATCCAGATTTCAGCAGCACGCGAGGCACTTTATTCCAGACACGCTCTTATCGGATTAACTACCTGTTATTTGCCATCAAAGGTAGCGTGACAGGGGGAGAGAAAAAATCCAAGTCTTTTCAAACTTCAATCGGGAAAGGCAATGATGACACCAAGCAAGTGGGCCACTCGGGACCTATTATTTCACATCAAACGGGCAGGTGATATGGTTGTTGACAATAGTCGGCAGGAAATGTGGACTCTTTGATTCATCGAAATCAGGAAACACTCTTAAAATATGTTTTCAGAATTTTGAAAATGTCCTGTTCCTGAATGTTGACTAAGAGGCTGTCCATCAACTAGACAGCTTAGGGGGTGAGTGGATTTGTTCTAAGATCCATACAAATTTTTAAATCTTTTGTATAAAAATTTGTATCCGTAGTTTATGGACAGCCCTTAAGATCGCAGCAAATTATCCAAGTTGTAGACAGAGCTGGAATTAGGGCGTTACAGCTTTTGTAAGCAATGACTTCTCTCGTTGATTTCTAGGAATTCAAGGCACGACCACGGAAACCAACATAACCATCGGGTAGAGGAAGTCTTCACTTACCACATGGTAATGTAGATTTGCGTGAACGAGCCTAGAATTTCTAGAAATCATCGAGAGAAGTCATTGTTTACAAAAGCTGTTACGCTATAATTCCAGCTCTATCTAGAGTTGTTCTACACGCTATTTCAAAACTACCCAAATTTGAGTGGAATCCACCCAGATCGGTCAAAACTGAACCTACCCAAAAATGGGTAAACTGTGTTGATTCCAAACCTGCAGATTTAGGATCGAACCCAGTATGGAAGATTTTCGGCACTAATCCTGTCCCAAACACACCGAAACGGATGCGGGAAGAAGATCAACCGACGGCAAAGCCTCCGATAATTCAACGAATAAAATCAGTCACAAATGTTGTAAAGACAGTTCTACAACGCGATTAGCGGCACCGGTGGTGTAGTGGTAAGCGTGATTACCTCTCACCCCAGCAGGCCTGGGTTCAATCCCAGTCGGCGCCGCCGGGATGTTCTGAGGCATAACATCTCTGATCACGCCTTCCTTCGGAAGGGAAGTAAAGCCGTTGGACCTTGGTTCATGAGTTGATGGGTCGATAGGTAGGGTCCAGGTGTTGGAGGGGGTAAGAAGTTGTTCGCCTCCCCGTGGTGCACCCTGGAAACGATGGACAACCAGTGCTGCGGTACTGATCCAGTCGGCTAATCGAACAACAAACGAGGGGAAGCGCCGGAAGGCGCCTTGCGATCGATGTCAGTAAGATCGCAAGTATGTATACTGACACACTGGCATTATGTACGACACTGAGTGGAAACTTACCATAAACCACGCTACGGGCTGGCACTCAAGGTATTTCATTCTCTTAGTAGAGTCGGGTGGAACCGGCCGAAACGACGTTTGAGCTAATGCCTTGTTTGTCTCCGTCCCATAAAACCCTGGCAGGCCTTAGAATACGTTCCTCCCGTGCCACCCAGTTGGGGCTGCGGTGGTAATAGGTTAGGTTGAGTTATTCCCGTCTTACGCGATCCGGCTCTGAACATAACGCCCCATGAAGGCCTATGTCAACCCTCGTCATGGACCTCACTGCTCGCATAGACACCCATGGGGATCAATCAGCGACTATTCCATTTGCACGGTAGGATACCGGTCTAAGGGGGACCCAACAGTCGGGATGATTTAAAAAAATCATCAAAAAAGTCAAAAACCCCAAACCCCAGGTGAACAAGTCACCGAGGAGGCGACCGCGAACCCGTTCGCGAAGGGAGGTCTACCCAGATCTCCCGAACACAGTGAGCCGAACAAACGGCCGAAACCTCCGCGCGATGCTGAGACAACGGCCGAGATCGGTGGACAGCCGGAGGAGCAGCCGAAGGACTGGCCCGGGCTAATCAGAACCATGAATAGCTTTGGGCCCCTCCCTAGGCTGCTGGCAATCGCGGGACAGCTCGACGCCATAATAGAGTTCACGAGCACGAAGAGCAACATTGCGAAGGACCTAAAGCAGGCCTTGCGACAGCTCCGTGCAACCGTGAACGAGGCCCAGGACGACCACGAGCGGCTCAGGAAGCGACTAGAGGTCGCAGAGAGGGCGGCACAGAAGGAACCGAAGTCTAGCCAGACGGACGCCTTCAACTTCGGGGGCAACAATACGATGTCCAGCGAGGCCCTCCACTTTGCCGTTACGCAGGGACAGAAGCGAAATCGGCCCTCACCTTCGCCAGTAAAGGGTGCAGCACGCCCTAAGAGATGGAAAGTCTCTGTGCAGGTGGAGAGTGTGGCGGTTGCCCATCAGTACACTGCATTAGTGGACGTACCGAAAAAGAGGGCTGGAATAGCCAGTAGCAAAGTTGAGAAATGTAGCGGCTCCAAGGGCGGGAAGCAGGGCGGTAAGAAGGGTGCCCCCCCCGAAACCCCCGAGACCCCCGGACAAAACTGCCCCCAAGAGCAGTGCTGCCCGGACCAGTAACAAGGGCGAAGCTCTCATCTTCAAGACGGACGCGTCGAAATACGCGGAAGTCTTGAAGAAAATGAGAACGGACGAGCGCCTTGTGGAGATGGGCAGTAACGTGAGGAGCATCAGGCGCACTCGTACAGGTGAGATGCTCCTGGTGCTCAAACGTGGTGCTAAGGACCAGGGACCAACCTACCAGAAACTGGCAAAGGAGGTTGGTGGACGAAGTGACGGAGGCGACCAAGATAGTCACGGCGCTCCGGGAACAGTGTCAAGTCAAGGTACCGCAATCAGCGATTACCTTGAGGAAGGGACTGTTTTCCACCCAAGTGGCTACCATCAGGCTCTCTGCAGCTGAGGCCAGAAAGGCGGTAGCCGCAGGGAGGGTGCGAGTGGGCTGGTCGGACTGCCCCGTCAGTATTCCCCGACCGGTTACGGCTTGCTTTAGGTGCTTCGGTCAGGGCCATGTGGCCCGTGACTGTAAGAACACCGACAGGAGCAAGCTTTGCAGATAGTGCGGCTCGGAGGGCCATAAGGCGCGAGGTTGCCAAAAGCCGCCGAGGTGCACTATATGCGCGGAGAAGGGGAATACCCCTACCAACCACATGGCAGGTGGCTCACGCTGCCCGGGGGCCAAGAGCAATGCTGCTAAGGCAAAGAGCAATGCTCAGCCATGTTCGAGGTAGCGCAGTTGAACCTGAACCACTGTTCGGCTGCCCAGCAACTGCTGTGGCAATTGGCAGCGGAATGGGAGAGCGGATGTCGCAATCATCTCTGACCCGTACCGCGTCCCAACCGGCAACGGGAATTGGGTCACGGACGCGTCGGGGATGGCGGCGATATGCACGATGGGGAGCTTCCCCATTCAGGAAGTAGTCGTGTCCAACTCGATCGAGGGATTCGTGATCGCCAGGGTTAATGGAGTATACTTAAGTAGCTGCTATGCTCCGCCCAGGTGGTCTATCGAGCAATTCTCGCAGATGGTGGACAGACTGACTGCGGTACTTGTCGGCCTAAGACCGGTGGGCATTGCGGGCGACTTTAACGCATGGGCGGTAGAGTGGGGTAGCCACCACACCAACCAGAGAGGATGCATCCTACTGGAGGCAATGGCCAAGCTGGACGTTGTACTATCCATCACCGGCTCGGACAGTACCTACAGAAGGAATGGTGCAGAATCCGTCATCGACGTGACATACTGCAGCCCGAGTTTGGAGGGCAACCTACACTGGAGGGTCGATGAGGGTTACACTCATAGTGACCATCAGGCGATTCGGTACAGTGTGGGGCCAGGTGAGAGGCGAGTGGCAGGAGGAAATTCGTCGTTCTTCGAGGAGGAGGTCTTCGGCGAAGCACTGAGGCGGGAGCGAATAACCCCGGATCTGACGGAGGAAGAACTGGTAGCAGCACTGACAAGGG